TTGAGTCAAAGTACATTTTAATGATTGTAAAAAAATTCTTTTTTTTTTTTTTAATATATGCAAGACAACCTTCCATTTAATGTTTGAAAAGAGACATAGAGTGGAAAAACAGTTTTAATTTTACAACAGAGATTCCAGTGGTAGACCAGGAAGGAAGAATTGCTGATAATTAAGTGCAAATGTAATAGGCCCACCAGCACCTAAAAAACAAAGTACTTTGTGAAAAGTAAATACGGTCCCCTCCAAACTCTGTATTTCTGTAAAGTTGTAAAGCTGCTTCCAGAGCCTGGCAGGTGTCCCTGAATCTTTGAGGTTTGGCTATCTGTGGGTTGAAGTGCCACCCTAAATGGGAGCGGGCGCCATGGGAAGGGCCACCTGCTGCCCGAGGGTGCGAGCCCAGAGCAACCCCAGGCCAGCTGACAAGGAGACTGGGAGCAGAGAGCAGTGCCAGGGTAGAGACCCTCGATGCATCTGAATAAACTGGGAACTCACACTCAGGCTGGGTGTGTTACAGCTCCAGCTTGGAACCAGCTCCCTTCCTCGTTTTGAAGGAAAGCGAAAAAAAAAAAAAAGGGAGGCTAGGGGAACCACCACTACTTATTTGAGAATGTGGTGGGACAAACGGTTGCCTGCCACATTCCTGTTGCAAAAGGGAAGGTAAAAAAGCTGTTACTGTGTGGTTCTGTGATGCAAGCTTGTTGTTTAACAGTTAGACTTCAGCATAGCTTGAAGCACTTTCTTATTTCCTTTGTAGAGACAAACAGGATACCTTGCATATATGCTGTGAAATACACATGGCTAAAAACTCCTAAAAATCAGGACCATAAGATGTACTACACTAAGGGGACAGTGATATTGGCATTCTTCCCAGTCTAGCAGATTTATTATTTTTTTAGTAGTGGAGCTTACAAAAAGAAAAATATTCTTTATTTAGCAGTAAAATAAGTTTGAAGAGAACAAAAGGTAGTTTTTTTTTTCACTCTGCTTTTTAGCATGAATAAAATAATGAGATTTTCAGATGTCCTTTGCATAAGAAGTTGCTCTCCCAGGTATTACATTGAAGAACCAATCATTTCTATTTAAACCCTTTGGTTGCTTATGTGCATGTTTGAGATGAAAGTAACAGCTGAATTTTGCTCTTACCCATCCATCCAGCTCATCAGTGGTAGACGATTTGTTTAAATTCCTTCATCCCTTCTGAAGTGCCTATGCAGTGCCTTCTGGACATAAGTGTGTATAAAACTGGACGAAGCTTCGAAAGCTCAAAAACTGTACCACTAAACTGCTTGCCTACTGGGTCAGTTCTTTGCTACCCAAGGCAGAAATTAGTCTATGTAGGAAATGAGCTTCAGAGTGACCTGTTCCTCCCCGCTGTGGACAAGCAGCTTAGTTTGCCAAGTCTCTGTGTCAAATATTAAGCATTCCTTTCTCTTTGTAAAGGTCGTATATCCCTTTGACCAAAGAGGAATTGCGCAACTCAAGAACAGTACAGCTAAATGTTAAACATTTCTTAATGACTTCTAGCATTTTCTTTTGGAAGGACACATGATCAGGGCAGAAAGGCTTTCTCATCTGTCAAAGCTACTGATGGGAGCATGAGCAAGTTATTTGGGCATTTTCAATATCATTGTGTATTCTGTGGCTTGGAAGTTAACTGAAACCCTGATTTAGGAAGATATTATTCTGATAGAAAATATATTTACTGTAGATTTGACAACCAGCACTTATATACTGAACAGCATTTCACGTTGTTTGAAGTTGCACTGGTGCACAGAAATTTTGACAGCACTTCTTTCTGCATGGGTTTCATTCTTCATTTTTTCTCTATGCCACTGGAACTTGGTGCATTTGCATTACAAGTACTGCCATTACATAATGAACAGAACATAGCATACAATCTTACAAGTAGGTCTGTGAGTTTTAAGTAGTTTATAGCCTTTTTTTTAAAAAAAAAAAAAAAAAGAAAGAAAGAAAAAAGAAAATATTCTGCAAATGAGAAATTAAGAGATAACTTTCAGGTACAAAGTAAAAGATCGTGCATGCTATCAAGAGGAGCCTGGACCTGGAAAAGGGCATTATCTGCGTGTTTGCTGGAGGGCATCTTCTGCAAGGCAGCAGTAATGGGCACTTGCACAGTTCTCTCCACCTTTTCTAAAGGTCTCAGAGCTGCAACTGCTTCCCACAACAGCCCAAAGGGAAGACGCTCACCTCAGTTTGCATGCAGGCAACTGTTGCATACCTTGCTGCAGGCAGCAGCTTTTAGGCAGTTCTGCAAAGCGTGCGCTCTGCGTGCTTGTGCGCACACTGCTCCACGCGCAAGCTGGTGAAGAGGACTGCTGCGGCAGCGTTGGGCCATGGCAGCTTGCTCGAGTAGCTCTATACAGGCATGTGGAAGGGGCAGCAAAGTTTTCAGGAGCATCTGTGTTCTTGATCTGGTTAGGGAACTGCTGAAAACTGCACTGTCACTGTTGCATTACAGAGGAGTTTCACATTTTGGCAGACCGCACTGATTTCAGAAGCAGTTTCTCTTCCTTCCGCTGTGGTATTTTGTGTTACCCCTGAATCTGTACTTCAGGCTTCCAGTGGGGATGAAAAGATATATGTTATCACAGTGAATGGGAAGTGTTTTGCATAGCTGTCATCCATGCACATCTCTGTGCACTATAGCAAGGAGTCAGAATGATGCCGGAATAACACTTGTGATTTCCCTGATGTCCTGTTCTATCTCTCTATCTTTTTATTTATTTATTTATTTATAAAAAAAAACCCTACATCTTCCCTCCCTTTTTTCTCCTAATTTATACATAAATTTCATATTCGTATTTGTTGATCTGGTGCAAAATTGGCTGGATTCAAAATAAGCCACAGTAAAATTTGCCTCCAGTTGTAGTGACTACAAGAGCACAGAGCTTGCCTGGCCCCGGGCCAGGTTCAGCTTGTCTTGCTTAGACAGCTTCCTTTTGACTCCAGTGGAAACTGCAAATTATGTGTGTGCGAGTACTTGATCTCCTAGCTACTAAATCCGCAATAGTGTCCCTTTTGCCTCTATTCTCTATTTAGAAAAGCTGTTGTCAAGTGATCAATTATTTAAAATTCAAAAGAGCAATGGATTCAGGCTGATTTTCAAAAATAATTCAAGTTTCATCTAGTTCAGATCCCTTTTGAAGTTGGTCAGTGTTCATAGCATTCAAAGCCTCCAAATGATTTGCGTTTGAAGCAGATTTAGGCTTATCCACAGCATCTTTGATAAATCTCTCCTCTTCTGTATAAACTTAATGATCAGTACCTTCATATCAAGTCTGTTCCTCCATGACCTGTTTGACAAAACTGGCTGAATATCTGTGGTAAATCACACTGTTGAGCACTGGGAGAGCCTTTTGAATGGTGGGAGAACAGTAGGGAAATGTTTCTCCTGGGGTGCATTAAGAAGAGCATCTCCAGCAGGTCAAGGGAGGGGATCCTGCCCCTCTACTCAGCCCTGGTGAGGCCACATCTGGAGTATTGTGTCCAGTTCTGGGCCCCACAGTGCAAGAGGGATAGAGGGGACCTGAGCAGTCTATATAAGTACCTCAAGGGAGGCAGTGAGGAGGATGGTGCTGGGCTCTTCACTGGTGGCCACTGACAGAACTAGAGGAAACGGCCGGAAACTGAAGCATCAAAAGTTCCACTGGAACTTGAGGAAAAATTTCTTAACAGTGAGGGTGACAGAGCACTGGAACAGGCTGCCCAGAGAGGTTGTAGAGTCTCCTTCTCTGGAGATCTTCCAAACCCGCTTGGACGCAGTCCTGTGCCACGTGCTCTAGGTGACCCTGTGTATGCAGGGGGGTTGGACTAGATGACCTCTGGAGGTCCCTTCCAACCTTAAGCATTCTATGATTCTTTTCCCGTGCATATGAAATGTTAGCCTTTCTGGTTCAAGTAAGTTGTGCAGCTTCCCATCATCTCTTCCACCTTTCTCTCAGAGTTATTGCACTCTTTGCCAGTCAATTCAAGTCCTCCGGGGACAACTTGATTTCAGTGGCATTTCCTGTATGCTTGGAGGAAGTTCTCTGATCCGAAGAATTACAAGTCTGAGCATTAGATGTAGTTTGTGTAGGAATCCCTTTTTAGCAGAGGGGTTTGAATTGATTTAATCAGTTCAACCACACCTTTAAACCTTAACCTCCTAACAACTCATTCTTATCTTTGTGGAGTGGATCAGAGGATCGATCTGTAGGCAAACTGACCCAGCCACATGCTATAAATAACTGTTTTTTATCCAGATCAGTACTATGAAACACCCATTAGGGGAGCTGCATGCCAACCCAATGCAGCCCCGATTGCAAGCCTTAGTTGGAAATGCTTCCTTAAGTCCGCAAGGCACAAACTTTTCAAATACATTCAGTTTTACACAGACTGGACTTGTCACTGTCAGATCTGTGTTTCTCTTGTTTTGCCTCTGTAGTTTAGCTGGGCTTTAGTTTAGCTGGGCTTCAGTGTAGTCAAATCAGCTTTCAGCCAGGACAGGAAAACTGAGTCATGGAAGTCTGAGCTGCATGCATGTGCATATAGCAATGTCCTTCTTTTGGTCCCTCCAGATGTCGTTTGTTTTTTCTTCACTTTCGCTTTTATGGGCAGGTTGTTCATTCTGGAACAACAGACAGCAAAAGACCCTTGTGGTTCTGCTGGCAGGAATGTGATATTGTTGCTATGGGAATAGTCTCTGAACTGCTGCAGAGCTGGAGTGACTCCTGACTGTCTAGCAGTGGATCTGTGCTGCATTTGTAGATGTTGGAAAACAAGTTGGGTTCTCAGGATTTAAGGGATGTAGCTTAAATTTCTCTTCCATGACTTTAAGTACAAGCACAGGACAAAATAAACTTAAGTGCTACCTATGTGATAGACATACTATTTCACACTTGTTATCTCTGCTGTTTAAGAGTGATTATCTTGCTGTTACTGAACTGCAAATGCTAGTCTGAACTGCAAACTAACTTAAAAAAAATATGTTTTGTTTTTAGTTCCCAAGAAGACGAACGGCCTATGTCACCCTTCTACTTGAGGTATTTACTCAATTGTTTTGATTTGTTTCTCCATATGGGGCTCGTTATTAGAATTAAATGGAGAGAATGATGCCAGAAAGTCTGAACAGACTGTAATCAAATTGAAGATTACTGTTAACCTTTATAATCTTTGCTCAGCTAGTGGAATGAATGAGGAGTCTTCAGAGATACAGAAAGATTTCAGCAAAGAGTTTGTGTCTAGAAACAAGGCTCAGGGGTAATGCCAATCTTGTAACTTCTTAATTAGAGGATGGACTTTCTTTTTGTCTTTTCAGTTTATTATGTAATTTAGATGCTCATCTTAAGTAGCTTATAATCTGTGGGCACAAGAGGGATTTTTGCCACAAGCTTTGAGGAACTGGCAGTATGTGCTGTTCAGAGCAAAAGCCGGAACCAGATGGTGAGTCAGCAGCCCCACAGCAACTGTTCCCTTGCTGCAGCCGAACCAGTGCAGAAAGACGGGAGAAGGCCCGGCCCTTGGTGGGCTTGCCTGCCCACAGGGAGCTGCAGTCTGGCTGTGTTTGCACAAGTTATGTTTCTTGTTTTGCCAATTGGAGGGCCCAAGTCACTGCTTTTAAAATTGGCCTAATTCTGTTGACATCACTGGGAGTTTGCTTGCTTCAGTAGCAGGCTTCATTCCAGTGCTTTCATTTGTACTTAGGGGAAGAGCAGGAGCCAGGGCAATTAATCATGAAAGGATGCAAAGGAGGGAGGGCTAAATACCATAATTGAGTTCTTTGATCTCTCTGGAGCTTAAAGAAATTAAAAGAAATCCCCATGGTGCTTTTTGTGAGAGCGGTGATACTTGGAACCCTTACAGTGATCACCAGTATTTTTTAGTTCTGCTGAATATATTCCTCTTTATCCCTTTAGGGTTTTTTGTTTGTTTGTTTGTTTGTTTTTTCTTACAATCTTTTCTTAACAAAGCCTCCAGAAAGTATGCATTTCATTATTACTGCTATTAGTATACAGGTATTAATTTACAGGTATTAACATCAGGACTGTGCAGAAATGTGCATCTGTGGAGCAGCCTGGTTGCATGGTCTTGTCCATCTTCCTGTTGATGCAGTGTGTTTGTGTAGGTGTTGCTTAATCTGTCCTTCAGAAACTGCCGGCTTTCCAAGGAGATTCTCTTTACCTTTGGGAGATTATTCCATTGCTGCACATATTTCAGTGTCACAAGTTTTCCCCATCCCAAATCCTCATCTTTCTACTGTGGAAAATCCCCTGTATCTTTCCAGTGAAAATAATCCCCTGCTTTCTCTCAGCTGGCCTCATCAGGATTGGATTGGAATTGGGGAGCAAGGTGTGGAGTTGGGGACACTGGCATCAAAACGAGGGCATTTCTGAGAGGGAGGGAGCACGTTAGGAAACTGTGATTAGAGGTGTGGCCATAATAGGGCTAGGAAGGAGGATGAATGTGCTGGTCGGAATGAAAGGATGGCCTTCAGTGAGAATGAGTCTTGCAAATAGTAAGGGAACAGTTGAGAATAAACACCTATTTGAAAAGTTAAGAAATGGCTAATACAAGCAAAGAGAGAGCAGCACACCTTGCGACACAGGGCTTTATGCCAAGCTTGTATCTTTTGTAACATGACTGAGACACAATTGCTTGCAAATACAACTAACAGCTTGTAAGCCTTGCTGCTATTTATCACACATCAGAAGCATGTACTTCTGAGGTTGTTTGCCAAGTGGAGTTAATTTGGCAAAGAAAGCTAGTGCTGGCTGGCTGATTTGTGATGCTTCAACAACTGAGAACTCCAGTGTGTGGCAGGATTTTCTGTGCAACTTTGACCATTTTTATTGTTGCCCCAGAGTAGTACGATGCATATACGTAGCACATTTCACACTGTGAGAAAGGAAAGGGGGAGCCCTTTGAAGGTCCATTTTCACTGTCTAATGACTAAATCTACTTGTGTTGCTGCCAGCCATGGTAGTCTGAGGTCTGAGCCATAGTCTGAGTACTGTTCAAGTAATGCTGTGAATCATGAATGTATATGCACAGAGAGGTAGGTTGCCACTGCATTTATGCAATATGTTAATCAGGTGGAAACAAGAGCTGTTTAGCTTCCAAACTCCACGTGCTGCCTGGGTTTTGCCAGGCTATAGGAACACGGTGTCTGGCCGTTGACCAGCTTCATCAGAATTGAAGCGAACACTTGATTCTTTAGTGGGGACCATAGGGGCTAGGAGTCGTAAAGCTTCCTTTTTTTTTTTTTTTTTTTTTTTAGCAATGAGCTTGAAATACTAACTTTAAATCAGAACTGTTAGAAACCACACAGATGTACTTTCTTTTCCTTTTTTTTTTTTTTGGCAATGAAAGGTGTTAGGATAAGAGAGCTGAGATTGTTAGATAAGGAGCAGTCCTACATATTCTTTATCTAAGAAAGAATGCGAGTGCTATCCATGCTGAGCAATCTTGTTTCAGGTAATTAAGCAGCATCTGGCAAAGTCAGTTCCCTGTAAGCACACTCCTGCCCAACATGTGCAATGAGGTTTTAGAAGGTGGGGAATCTAGAGCCGTGCTTTGTGCAGAGTACCTGCTTTAGATTTGACTGTGGTCACGTAGGCAGTATTAGAGGAGTTTCCTAATAAGTACATCCTGAGATAAGCCTGAGTGATAGTAACAGGGAAAAAACTGCAGCTTTGTAGTGCGGAGCTTCCTTGTTAATGTGTGGAGCATTAAGCTGACATTGAGATAAGTGCAGCCATCACAAGCGGTGCAAAAGCTACTTAAGATGTGGGGAATTCAGAAGCCGGATTCCCCAGCATTAGTTAGCAGGCTTGTCTCACTAGGCACCTTTTATCAGGGAGGAAGGTGTCTATTCCAGTCGAAATCATGAGCTTAATTCGGAGGCTCCGAATGACCCCTGAAAGAGCAGGTAGAGGGACCTGCAGAGTGAAAACTGCCTAAAATCACAGAGCAAAATTGAATGGTGTGAATCCCGCCAGGGCAGTCTCTGCTTCAAACAGTAGGTGTCACTGTGCACCTATCATAGAAGGTGATCTCCTTGCAAGTAAGAACGGCAGGAATTTGGGAAGAAAACCAAGGCATTGATCCAGATTCTGTGGCTTGCTCTCTGCAAGTCTAAGTCCTCAGCACTGAAAAACTTTCCTGCTGCTCCTTGCTGTAAGTAAAAGAAAGAGACCCTTTAATTTGTATTAGAAAGTTTTCTTTTTATGATTTCTATGAGAAAGTACTTCTTGGTATGTTCTGCAGTAGATGTGTAATTTAATAAAAATAAACTAGTTGTGGAAGTAATTGACAGTATATATCAGAGGATCAAACGCCCAGAAGAAATCTTTCTTAAAAGTTCCTGAAGGTGCAAAGCGTTGCTGCAGAGCATGTTTGAATCTTCAAAATAAAGTAGTGTGAAAAGCCAATATTAGGGAATTATAAGACATCTAATATATCTGGAAAACCTCTGCCTCAAAACTGAGGGAGAAGGCTAATAAAGAACATTAAAATTTCACAGGGTTAAGAATAAAGTAAATCCTATTTATGTTATCTAGTCATGTTCAGTATATAAGGAAGCAGTATCTAGAAGAGAAAAAAGCAGTGTTAAAGCTTTTATTGTCACCCATTCAGCTGGCATGTAACTGTGTGCACGCATTCTTCCTATTTATTGGTAGCTTTGAAATCAGCATATTGTTCTCTCTCTCACAAAATCTATTTTGTTTGAATAGGACTTTTACAGATACTACAAAGTAATTGTTAAAAAGATATGTGACACTGTGCCATGTGCTCTAGGTGTCCCTCCTTCAGGAGGGGGGCTGGACTAGATGATCTCTAGTGGTCCCTTCCAACTTGTGATTCTGTGATATGTGACTTTATGAGTTAGCAAGGTGAGTGGGTCAGAGCAGAACTGGTGCTAGAGAAGCACATAGTTAACTGAGAACTAGACAATTACAGAAGGTATTTGGTCATTATGAAAATATTTGTCGTTTTATTTAGTTATTTTTGCAGCTTTATCTTTAATTTCCTCTTTATACTGATTTTTGCATAAAAGAAATAGTTGTGTTTTCAGTGAGCAGTTTGTAGATAGTGACTGTTGCCCTTGAACACTCCAGATCGGGTTAGCAACACAAACTCTCACTCACATGCAGTTTCTAGCTTTTCTTCAGTTTTTTTTTGTTGTTGTTTGTTTTTAATAGGAATCAAGAATTTGAATTTTTGTACAGTATTTTTTTTGAAATAGAGGGAAGAACTTTTGACATTTTTTCTCTGATCTGCTCCTAGACATGCCTTTATCCTAGGAATGTTTCAAATAAAGTCTAAACAATTCAATCTGCCCCTCCACTGTCACTTTCCTCACATGCAAATGGATTGGGAAAAAAATGTTTATATGAAAGAGAGCCCCATTCAGTGTGATTTGCATGTAAATATAGAAGATTGACACAATATCAAGTTACAGCCACACATATCGGAGTGGTAGGAATAGGATGAATTGTATCCTGTAATGCGGTTTAGTATGCTCCACTCTTATTTACTAATCCATCTCCAATGGGAGGCCAACTTTGAAAATAATCTAGGGATTGGACGAGGTCATGTAGTTTATACAGCTGAAGTGACATGAAAGTAGGATGCTTGAAATGTGTACTTGGAAAAGCAAAACCATGTCATAGTTAATAACCACAATGTTGCATATGAAAAGAAGGATCTTGCAATTTTTATTTTTATTTTTAGGTAGGTTGCATGCCCACAGTAGTAAGATCAGTAATTTGATACTTATTTGTATGACTTGTCTTTGTGAATTCATCTGAATGACACAGCTCCTTGGCTGTTGCATAGTTCATGCGGAATATACTGGCAGCTACGTGACTGCTTTCATGCTGTGCACAGCTCTGGGGAACTGTGTCTGTGCTAGAGATCAGTGTGGAGTGAAATGAGGACTATCAGGGGTGAACCTGTGGCTGGAGTGCGCACTGGTTTATCAAAATGAAGGTGGATGTGCTGGCTCATTGGAGTAACCAGCAGCATATGAGAGACTCATTGGGCATCTGTGGGTTTGGGCTTTACTATAGGCAGACCCGAAAAGGGAGTTAGGCTATTTTATGTTTTTTTCTTCTTCTTCTTCTTCTTCTTTTTTTTTTTTTTTTTGGTCAAACCAAATTTACACTTCTCAGCCTTCACTTGGCTGCTTTCTACCACAAGAGATATTTAAAAACAATGGAGCCACGGAGTAGTTACCATCAGATTGTTGCAGCCTCCTAACTAGCATTACACCTATACAGTAAAGTATTTGGCAAGTGAAATATTCAACAGAAGCAGAGAAGAGACTTTTGTTTAGTTAAGGGTTGCTGTTGCTGGATCTGGCATTGGAGCAGTTTGAGAAACTCGTAGAGACTGAAAGAATTAATGGCTGTTTCGGCAGAAAGCAGAGGAAACGCATTTTGCATTCTGCCTGTCTCATAACCTGTCTACACAGTATCATTTCAGTGGAGTATATGAGCCAGCCACATGACTAATTCTTCTCCTGGCAGGGGATAAATCCCAATGAAACTGTAGCCTGTAACTGATTGGACTTAATAAAGATCATAGGGGTGATGAATATGTGTAAAACAGCACGTGTTCCCTTATCTGTAAAGCTGAGTCAGTGTGAGGGAAGAGGGAGCAGAATGGGATTTGGCTTGGCCAAATGGCATCTGGCCCTGTGCAGATGGAGGAACGCAGTGACAGCTGTGTGCTATGGCATGTCAGCTTAGTCAAAAGAGCTTTAAATGGCAAGCAACGACGCCTAAAATTATGTTAGCTCTTCCTGAGCCCAAACTGAGAGGGAAAGAAGAGCATATATTCTTATTTTCTAAGCTATGATGCAAAGAACATGGATAGCAGAAAACTGCAGGAGAAGTGATAAAGGTCATGCATTTTGCTTTTTTTTTCCCCAATGAATATTTAAAGTTCCATTTATTAAGTCCTCTTTCACAATGGATACATTTTCAAAGCAGCCTTGGAAGACAAGAACTTTTGTGAGGAGGCCAAAGCAACCTGCAGCTGCAGAAAACTCAGAAGGAAGCAAAAAAAATCTGTGGTGTGCTCAAGTTGAAATACTTTCCGTTACGTTTCGGTCTACTGCAAGCGAATGAGAGATAAATTAATTCTTGAGGATATTGGTGTGGTTGAAATGTGCCACGTCACTGTGGGAGTGAAAATTCCTTCAGGGAAAAAGCTTGTGGCAGGCACGTGCTGCTGAGACTGCTCGACCTTTAAATCCTTTCTTAGTGCTGCAGAGAACAAATGTTTAAAGACATTATTGTGATAATCAGATCTAACTTTCTCCTGTTTTTCTTTTACACAGTGCACATGTGTCACAAGTCAGTAGCAACATTCCTTCTGTTTATGTTTCTTTTATAATTGTTTTGCTTTTTTTTTTTTTTTTTGTGTATTGTAGCTTTGCAGAGTATTATTGGTTATTCTTTGATTTCACTTAAAGGGCTGTTCTTATGCAAACAAAAAAGACATTGTTTCCCAAATCAAAGCATCTGCAACGACAATAAATCACTTCTTCCTGAAAAATTATCAGGTCTGTAGGTTCCTTGGTTCTTTCCCACACTCTGCCTGGGATATTTCAGTAAGAGAGAACCTGGATATTTAGAGAAACGTGTTCTTACCACATAATCCTTTCAATCCTGTTTGTTCCTGCTCCTGTCCCAGGACTGGGCAAGGCCTGATCCCATTGCGGTAACTGCTATGCCAGCATGAACAGCAGAGCTAACAAGTTGGTTCCCTGCCTGAATTAGAACTTTCAAACGTTGGTGGATTTGCCAAACTGATTCTTGTCAATATGGGAAACATAGATACATTTGCCAAATTAAACCATATATTTTTATGTAGTTGCTAAAATCTTGGACTTTTTCAGGAACTGCAATCTCTTCAGACTACCACTGTAGTCCACACTTAGGAACAAGTGTTGTAAATTTGCTGGAGCCATCAGTACGGGGACAGGCTCACATATCATAGCTAGTTAGCTGAAAATGAACCAGCAAATTCTACAAGTAACTTTTGGGGAAGTGCTGAGTCTTACTAAGAAAAAAGCAATGGACTCTGTCAGTCAGGCATATTTCTGAAACTCATCTCTAGAGCGCTACAGGAGACTTCTAAAGGTGGGCAAGAAACATGGCTAGGGCATGCTTGTGTAAAAATATGTTTCCAAACAACATTTTGGTAAAAGAAAAGTCTATTTTAGATTTTTCCCATAAAATCTTCCCTTGACTCAAGGAAAGAAGGAAGGAAATTGTGTAAGAAAATGTCACTAGGAAAATGTAGGAGAGTTGGGTTGAAAGTTGAGGTGGTCTCACAGATTTAACCAATGTAATTGCAAATAATCCCTTGCTGTGGCTGGCGTGGAAGCCCTTTGGCTGCAACTGGGCACAGCAGTGATCTCACAGCAGTGTCAGTGAGGAGTGGCCGCGTGTGCATTGGTCGAGCAGGAAAACAGCATGAGGTCAGAACCAGTTCTGTGTCTGGTCACTGAGTGAAGCCTATGAAGAGTTTACAACAAGGTACTATTGCATGTTCTCATCCCCCTGTGAGGCAGCAGTGAATCACCTTCTTGCTTTTCCGAGTCTGGATTGCACAAGGGACCTGACTAGTGTAAGCATGGCTGGGTGGCTCACACGTCATTGTGCTTTGAATTTTAGTCTTTCTCTTGAAAGTGTCATTTACTGAAAGAATTTTTCTTACACCCTCCTTTACCCCAATCAGTGACTTCTAATAAAACCTGGGGGCACGTGACTGAGTTTGCAATTGGTGCAGTCTTTAGAACCCTGTTTCAAATAGGGTTTTGTTAGGGTTGTTGAAAATTAGGCACTTCATGTTTGTAGTTACAGATGCAAATAAAAGCAGGCAGTTTATAGAAGATTCAAGCAGCCCCAGAAATGAGCAAGTGCAGGGTGAACTGGGAAGGTTCAGCTCTTCTGAGGGACCTGAACATCAAGGTGTCAGAAGTTACTGGTTTAGCTCTTTGCAGATGTCTGTGGTCCCAAGTACACTTTATACTGCCTTGCCACCATGATAAAACAAAACCTTCTAGAACACATTCATTATTTAATGTTGCAGAGAGGGAGCTCCAGCAAGTTTTTGAGCTCTATTGACCTTATTTTTCGGCTTGACAGGTATTTAGAGAAGACAATCCGCTCAGCCGTGGAGCAGCATCTCTTTGATGTTCATGGCTCAGGCGGCCAGAGTTCAGAGGACTCTGAATCGGGAACATCTTCAGCCTCTTCTAATGTGTCTGCCAGGCAGAGGAGGCGACAGCACAAAGAGCAGGAGGAAGCCCGGAGAAACAGAGACATGTACGATCCTGATTTCTTTTGTTTTGAAAGTATATTTGATTAAGTGTATCTTAGTCATGTCCACTGTCTAGGCAATGCTGGGTAGTTTGGTTATGAAATGTCCTAGCCCTTGCCCTCAGGTGAAAGTGCAGAGCAGAATGCTCTGCCTGTGCAGAGCTCCATCACATCAGTTAGAGCTGTGAAATGTAGAGCTTATTAGAGATAATACAGTGGGCTAAAACATGATAAGAAACCAGCTCTTTAAAAAATATAGTGGAGGTCTCTAATTACAGTATTTGCAGTTCTTTAATTTCAGTATTTATTTTTTAGCAAAAAAAACAAAAATTTGGTGCTAATGTCTGCAACATCCTAGATAAAAACATTACTTTTAGGTGCTTTTCTGAATATCAAATGACTGCAAAACTGAGACTGATGTCTCCTTTTTTTGTGTGGAGGCCCAGTTTACGTTCAGGCTTACTGAGGAGTCCTAGGAGTCTTCCTTTTGATTAATCAGCATTTTAAGTCATTTTATCCACCCTGTTACACAAAGGTTACACATGATTTAGTGGCAATTTTCATTAGATGTCCATCAAAGAGTAAAAATAATACCCGTTTCCCCTTCCTTACTGCTCTAGTTGTGGTATGCACTGTTTGGTGCCAATAAATTACCACCACAGCCTTAACAAGCACATGTCCAAGGCATAGCTGTTTTTGAGGAACTGAAACTGAGCAGTGTGATTTTGTAAGGTCCTGATCTAATCAGTATGTCTAGCTTTTGAAGCACAGGGCTAGTCCCTACAAGAAATGTGTGTAGTATTGGCTTGCTAAGATTTCAAGTTAGGTTCAAAAAATACATGTCTAGGCTCTTTTTTTTCCTGGATGCTGGATTCTTCAATCTTATTAATGTTGAACCTTCCTCTACCAAGCTGCTTTCATACACATCCCTCAGTACCTCATGCAAATTTTGCATGCTGTGCTACTTCCCAAAATGTGTCAATGCTAGTAGAGTAAAAAGTCATAATAATGAAATAAGAACATGAAAATACGTCGCAGAGATGGACTGCGAGGTTGGACCTTGCAAGTCACCAAGTATGTGGCAGCAGGTCTGAAGTAGTTTTTCTTGTTTAGTAGCCCTGCTGACAGGCTTCTCAGGTAAGTAGGTCAGGGACTGGCTAGCGTACGTGTTTGGGAGCATATAGTACTGCAGGGCTTTTTTTCCACATTGCATTGCAGAGCTGCCTTTAGAGCATTCTCACCTATCTTGATGCTGGTTGTTCAGGTTCAGTCCCCAAAGCTTGAGCCAAAGACCTAGTCCAGACAGCAAGTACAGAATGCTGGCTAGGTATCAAGTTGTTTTCCTGCTTTCCTTAGGTAATATTACTAGAATCTGAGAGTGAATTGTCAAAATTCAGAATTCCTTTCAAAATTTTTTTTCTGTTGTTTTGATTCTCAGTGACTTCATCTCCTTGTCTTATGATGGATCACAAGAGGATTTGTAATATCACAAGATGGGATTGCAGTTTTACTACAGCTATGGTCTTCCATGCTTTGCAGACTACATGATCTATAGGCTATATATGTAATTGGTCACTTCAGGGAGTTGTAAAAACTTGCATAAAGGCAAATGGATTATCCTATAAGTTTGATCACAGATTTATAATAGCTCTTTGTATCTCTTTCAACCACAGAATTGAGAGACTCGTGAGCTAGAAAGTCACTTGGACTTTTTGTTTGTTTTTAATCTGAATACTTTGTCATGCTGGCACTTTCCAGATACTATAGAGCAACTGAAACTCTGCTGCTGTTCATGAAAGCAGGCTTTGGAGTTGCACAGCATTGTATAAATTAGCTGCAGGGCCATTAATGCATAAAACAGCAAACATTCCAGTTTCAATGTCAAGTGTGAATAGCCCGACTTTAGCCTCTGGCAGGATAGGACTGGTAAAGAATGAGATGCATTGTGTTTCATAAAGTAGCGATGTGGATGTATGTGTGTCCTCATTATTGCACAAAGTTTCAGAGAGATGCCTGCTTAGCAGGTTGTGAAGGGAAGACAGTATGTGGAGAGATCCAGGAAGGGAATTAGGCAGGGAAATAGAAACATAAGGCCAACTCCTGGAAATGCACTCAAGCCCAGCTAGGTTGAAGAGAGTCCCACTGGATATCATGTGGTGACTTAAGACCATTCGCTTCCCAGCACTGCAGGACAGTGCTGTGTCCTAGCAGTCGTGTCGCTATTGCGGAGATGCATTCATTCTTACTCCCTTCTCTATTTTGTGTAATCCCCAATTAAAAGTGAAGCACTTGGCTGAAGCACCACAGTCCTTCCCAAGCTCTTGCTCTTGAGAGCATGAATAAGACAGCTGTTGGTACAGTGTCATGCACCAAAGGAAATCCTTGGACCAGAGTTGTAAATCACTTTTCTAAAATACAAACATGTGTCTCGAAGGAAAAAATGCTGCATATTCTCTATAAAAATACCGCAGACAGCCAGGAGCTAGTCCAGATTCCGTTTGAACTCCAAAGGATTCTCCCTGTTGGCTTTAGCGGGAAGCAAATCAAGTCACAAATGTTGTTCCTGGCAGCTGTTTCACCCGAGGTATATATACCTACCTTCCAGTCTTCAGTGGGACTTGGCATTTCACAGTGCGTGTTGTTTGTTGCAGTAGGAAGAACCAGAGATACAGGTTTCATAGGGCGTAGAAGATGTTGCCAGAACTGCACCCGTCAGCATAATGCATTTCTCTATTACTACCTTAAATGTAGCGGGAGAGTGTTTTAAACAACATCTTGTTGCAATGTCCCTTTTCTTTTTAGGGAAGTCATCAACAAAGAAAACATTCCTTCTGGATTCAGCAATCTTGAAGACTGCATTCTGTCTGCTCAAGAGGTAGAAAAATTGCCAGACAGTGGCTCCTCTTATCTTGGTGAAAGGAACAAACCGAAACGGCAGAAATCCAGCACCAAGCTTTCAGAGCTTAATGACAACCAGGACAGTCCTGTGGTAAGCTGGCGTGCTATACTATTTCATGCCTACTACCAGGGTAGAAAAACTCACTCTGCTCCAGAGAACATCTGGTGCTCTTGGGCAGCCGTTTATACATACAGGTAGCTGGTTTGGATTATGGGGAAAACTAGATTGCATACTTGTAACCTTTGTACTGAAACAGCTGAGAATCTAGATTTGCTATAGTCTTCTTACTCTCTCTGTAGCCATTCTGTTTCTACTTTTCTTTTTCTTATTTCTTTTGTCTTCAATAGAGTATTTTGGAAGGAAATTCTTTATATCAGTCTTTCAAAATTCTTGCAAGGAGGTAGGAACCTCAGATGAAGTGCTTAGCTGGATTTTTATTTTTAAACTTATGCTAAGCTCTGAAAGCACAGATCACAAGTGGCTTACTGATAATGAGATGACAAAGGTGTGTTATGTCCTTTCCACAGAGACTGTATGTGCTACAGTAGCGCAAAGCAAATGCAATATTCAAAACACTTTCCAGTCTGTTAGTCTCAAAGATGATCCCTCTAACTATCTTACTGGGGAGGCAAATGACACAGATGTGCTAAAATCAGGAATGCTATGGAATTTGCCCAGCAAATTCTGGTGTGATCCTCCCAGTAGAAGGCAGCTTGCCAGCTTTAACAAGCGACGATACATCCTCCTTCCCTCTCAACCAAGCCAGACACTGATTTTAGTTTTGACAGTTGAGGAACTACACTCAGCTTCAATGTAGGGTCTGTTTGCAGTGGCAGATGCCCTGTGTATCTTCTGTACATGGCACCAGCTGTGCTTTCACTGTTACTAGCAACCCTGTAATGCCATGTGTAAAGACTAGCCCTCTCAGCTGCAGAGCATTCCTTCAGTTACGTTTCGTTGAGTTTCAGAGTCTGCTGTAGGTGAGTTCCCTCTTAATGTGACAATGTACTGTGACCCATTTTGTTTAGATTACAAAGGTGCCACGATGTGATGCTCTGCCCTGTGCAAAGATTCTATAGAGGGGCAAGCTGGGCTTCTCTGTGTGATCAAAGGAAGGCAAGGTGCCAAGTGCTGCAGGCCTTGCTTCTAAGATTTAGTGCTCAATATCAATAACCTATTCATGTGATACTTCATGAAAGGGTGGTCTGACAGACACACTCACACTTTGCTTGTAGCAATGGAAAGGGACTTGAAGAGGCAAATGTGAAGTGCTTACCTTCCCTTTTGAGCCTCTTTACTCTGCTTGGGAATGTAGAGCTGCTTAAATGTAAATGAGAATTTGACTCAGGATTTGGGGAAGTAAAGATTGTCAGAAGTGTACACTTAAGATGGTATGTTGGGGACCTCAAAAAAGGTGGTGAGATCTTGAAACATTCTTGCAGGAAATGTTCTCAAATTTATCTCTCTCCCCTGGACTGGCAAAGGCTGAAAAGACCAAACTCTGAACAGACAGTGCACAAAGTACACTTGGACCAAGGTGACTATCCTAGTCAGTGTGGTCCTTGCTTACTTTACCAGAGGAACTGTCCCAGTGTGATTGTCCAATGGGAGAATGCTTATAAAACAGCTTGCAGACAGAACAATGTTACTCTTCACAAAGGGCAAAGTTTTTTGTTTTTCTTTTAAGTTTCCATGAGAGCGCATATTTCACGCTTGTAGATCAGAGGCTTTCGTTGGGATGCAGTGTGTGTAATGGTCTTGGCCAAATCTTAACTCAAGCAGTAGAAGATACACTTCAGAGGAAAACCCAAATTATTATTAAGTTAAGGTATCAAAGGACATAAGTTATGTCTCAGCTTTTTCTAATAGTGCTTTCTCATGTAAACAAGTCTTGTGCCAGGAGTCCTAACGCTACATCTTCTTTCTCATCTTTGTTGAGTCTTCCTGCTTTATCAACAAAGCTTGAAAGAGCATGTAGGGCAGTGTGTGGAAATGCTCCTCTTAGATGTCTAATTGTATCTGACTCAAAGCATAAGTCAGCAGTGGAAGAATTGTCAGTTCCGCTTACTCTCTTGAGCAGAACCAACCATTAAGCATTTAAAGCGTATAACTGCATTTCAGAGGCAAGGTAGCCAGGGACAAGCAGGACTTGAAGAATCACATAGGCAAGGCCAAGGCATGTCCTGGCTGGAGAGATGGAACCACGCAGCCTTTCATGGCAAGTGAGAAGCCTGTGACTGCCTGGGAAGTGTGTGCTCAGCTCCCGTGGCCCAGGCCAGCAACCCTGCTTTGCTTTGCTCACTTCCTTCCTCCTATTTAGAAGAAACTTACTCAAATCTCAGAGTAGAAAGACTCCTAATAGTGTGTCCAAAGCAACAATGTTCAATTTCGTATTTTTTTACACCTGGGGTAGCATGTGCTTTGTTTTGTTTCTTTAAGAATTCCTACAATTATGTGCTCTACAGTAATAGTGTCAAGGCAATTCTAAAATGTGCTTCCAATATGAAGGAACTCAGCACCTACCCAAGCAGGTGAAGGCATTGCTCACCTCTGCCTGCTTTTCCTTGCCAGTAGGTGCTAGATGGCTGAGTCACTGAGCAGAAAGTGAACGAGAAGTGTTAAGAGTGTAGGACTTTGAGTGACAAACAGTTTTTAAAAAAAGCATTCTGACTAATTCAAATTAATGCTTGGATTTTCCCATGAGTTTTACCTGCAGAAAGCTACATTGAGTGCTCCTCCCTGTGTGATGTGTAGCATGTAATTTGGTTCATATACCAGGGTGATTGGTTCTTTGTTTCCATTCTTTATCACCTTAAAAAATAAAAATAAAACAAAAAACACTTTCTAGCTCAGAGACCAAGCAATCGAAGCAGACAGTATGTTTCATTGCTGCGATAATGAAGAAAATAATTCCTCTAAAGGCTGAAACCCAAGATTTAAGTCTATTCTGTACCAAAAAAAAAAAAAAAAAAAAAGATATAACAGCTTCATTTGTTTTCACAATACTTTCTCAGGCTCTTAGAGAACTCAGCATTAGTTGGTAGCTGGGAAATCTTGAATAAGTTGCCATAATCAATAAAATTTCTTGTCATGAATTCACATTAGTATCCTTTACATTGCTGTTATGCATATGGCAGGCTATTGGTACTCCTAATGTCTTCTGCCCTTTTTGAGAAGAGACTAGGAAACAGTTTTGCTGAGGAAGGGAATATTTGTAAGATCAGCCTAAAGTGTGCTGCTGAGGAGATGTTCTGGATTATGTACTTGCTCTTACAGGACTTGCACACATCACAGAATTGGTGCCTCACTCACAGCATCAGTCTGTAAAATGGGAACTTTAGAGATACCATGCGGAGATATTCTGTCAGGCATTTCAAGGTCATCTGATGAAAGAGTCCAAGATGGTGTGCATTTATATTTATTGAAGGTTTGGGCAAGTTTGGGCAAATTTTATTTTGCTATAAATGTGTAAAAGGCAGTAGTCTCACTGTCCTATTTCTAGGAGTCTGGCTGGCTACTTTTGTATTTGATCTGTGTAACAGCCTGCAGCTTGAACCAGTTTCTTTTATGTATCTTACTGTTTTTAATATTTACTCTGTTACAGAGTATGGAAAGCTTTAGCTCATCCAGACCTATAGACAGAACAGGACCTGATGACATGGAAATTTTATCTGAAGAAAGGTGATTTTTTTTTTAATATGTGTGTGTTTTGTTTTGCCTGTGGTTATGGTACAGCCTAAGAGATCTTCCACCACAGACCATGATGGTAACAGCTGCACTACAGAACAGCTTTACCCATTATGTTAACTTCAAAGCAGAGCAGTAGAGAAGCCCTCTCTACTATATATATGTTTTCTGGGCTCTGTGCAACACCATATTCCAGAAAGTCTTTTCTCCTGACCTATCAGAAACATCACTGAAGATGATAATGATGCAGACTTGAAAAGAGGTTGTCTCTAAGTACCTCTACAGAGATACAGTGCACAGCATTGCAGGCACCCATCTCCCATGGTCATTGGGTTGGGAGACCAACACTTTGTTCCTTTGCAAGAGCTCTGCAGTTTCACTCTGCTTGCTGGAGATGATGATTTCTCTCCACAGTTACAATGCTTGTTGAGAGAGTTGAATTGATGTGGAATAAGGGCATTGGAATTAAATTCCATTATATTTTCCACAAAGGTCCTGAGAGGAACAAAATAGTATAGCAGCTTGAAGTTCTGTGACCCAGAGCATCTTCTCATTTACTCAGTATACTAGCAAGTGAGCAGTAGCAACCACAACATAAAAACCTGTGTGTGCAGAGTCCTGTTTGTTTTTGTTACGAGACAATCTGTTTTTATCTTTGTAATATGTTTCTTTTTTTGTAGCAAAGAAAGTGAAAACGATGAGGTTTTTTTCAGGCACTCACAGGTTGGTATTCCTTTTTTTTTTTTTTTTTTTTTTTTTTTTTTGAGTTTCAGATGTGGGCTCTAAATTGGCTGTTCATTTGCTAGAGACAGGTAGATAGGCACGTAGTTCTATACATAAAATGAAATTCTGTGACCCTTAGAGAAATGGAGTTTGTATTTGCTTTTTCTTTCTCTCCCTTCCCTCTTCTTTTCGATTTTATAATTGAAAGAGCCTCTCAAACACGGAGAACCTGAAACCATCTGCTTCGGTCCCTTCGATGCCTCCTTGCCAAAGCGGAAAGCGTCACTGAAGTCAGCACTTTGGCTTAAGAGGCACTGAGTTCCCTTATAATCATTGCTAACAGGGTGTGTGACCAATTATCTCATGGTGTAGTGAGATTAATTTATCTCTGTTGATTTTTCTAAAATAATTTTGGTCTTTTATGTATGATTTCCTAGTGTGCCCTGTCATCGTTGAGCATTCTTGTCCATGATCATTTGTCTTACAAAGCTGCATCATTCTGTGCTTCTCCCTAAGGGTTGGTGGTTGGAGCAACTGTCAGGAGGGGACAGAAGAAAGATGTGGAATTTATGGTGACTGCTTCTTCCCTGTTCTTCCCAGTTTTACTCTGCACCTTACTCCTGCACTGTCTTTATGGGTTTTTTCACCTGACCAATCAGCAAAGGGAAGGTGGGGTTGGGTTAGGTGACCACCTTTGCAATCACTAGTTCATTTGGTTCTGCTGCAAAAAGTTCTAGACGACACATCATTTAAAATACTAGAAAGGGTTACCCGCACCACCTCTCCTCCGATTGCTGCACCGTTTTTGGAGGTAGAAGAAATTATTTAGTAATTTTTTGGATCAGCCCAGCTGTGTCATAGCAGTGTATGCTTGCAGGGGGTGCTCAGCAGTGGCTTTGATCACTGCTCTGAGTTGAGCCAGATCTCCTGCTTTACTCCCAGAGGGTCAGTAATCCTCTGAGTCCTGCACTTGGCAGCACTCGTACCTGGCAGTTTAGACATGCGGGCCGTGGCATTTTCTAAAGACAGCTTCTGCAGCACCTTGTTTCTCACATACCTGCTTAAATGCAGAGCAGATGCTCACTCCCACATCACAGAAGACTCCCATTTAGCTTTTAATTTATCTGGGGAGAGAAGTATGGTTGAATATTAAATTGTAATCTTAAAATAAACTTCTCTTGAGGAGGAGTTTAAAATTCAATAGGAACTTTTACTGCAGAAAAAGGCATAGCCTTAACGCAGAGATGGTATTATATAGGAATTACAAGGTCAAGAAAATGTTACATTCCTGCAGGGTAGTTCTACATTCCTTGTCCTGTATAAGCCTTTGCTTAGGGCAGCTTAGGAGCATACCTTTTGTAACAAATAGCTCATTCACAACGAGCAGGGGCCTTTCTTGCTCCTTTCTCCTTCTCACCCCTTCTCCAGTCTGAAAATATTAGTGAAGGTGTTTGGAATTTGTGCCATGGCTATTGGTCATGTAGACTCAGCTCTGCGTGAGGCAGTAAAAATACCTCAAAACATGTGTCCTGAATGAGTTTTCAGTGCTTTTGTAGCTTTCATAACCTGCCCTTGGAAATAGTTAAGCTACAAGATATAGATTGTGATTTGACAAAGAGGTTCCTAGTATCCAGGATTTTTTTTTTTTTTTTAAGAAAAATATCTCAGAGAAGAAGCCAGGTGTGGCCGATAGAGTTTAAGTCTGGATGCAGAGTGATGAGACAGTCACTCCAGGAGGTACCAACAGTTCCACTCACCACAGTGGTATGTTTACTTGGATATAATAATGAGGAAATCTTGGTCAAATTAATACTTGTTACCACATTAACATTTGGCCAGAGTATTCCATCCAGAAACCAGAACAACTGCTTGTACCTCCTTGTCTGGTGGCAAAACAAAAACAACTGCAAAGTTTTTCCATTTGATAACTTTGACTACATAAGGCATGTTTGGTACCGAAGTCTTCTGCAGACAAAAATATAAACTGTTAAGAGTTAAATTGGGTTAAAGAGTTAAATTTCATTTCAGAAAGTGACTCGAAGGTTGTTCTTTTTCTTTGTTAATGCATCAGATTCAGCCCCAGATTCACTGCAGCAGGTATACAAGGGGGTTGGCCTGACTCAGGAGGAAAGCAGCAGGATGACTGGGTTCTTGCATCTGATTGCCTTATCAAGAGGTGCATAAGGACGCCTCCAGCTTGTGGTTACAGGAGATTACCAGGTGTACGGGAAGGAAGCCTTCTAAAAAGAATGTTTGGATCCACATTTAATTGACTTGAATACAGTTTTCTGATCTGAATTCTAAGGTCTTTGTGTTCCATTTATTTCTATCTGTTTGAGCTCTTCCAATTGCTGAATCTCCTTTGGAGCAGTGATAATGAGGGCAGCTGACTTATCCTCAAGTTATTTTGATCTATAGTTATTGATACCCACAAACCACGGCTGCAAAAGCAGTTTCTGAAAAGCATAACTCAAGAGCCTAATTTTAAGATTTTTTTTTTTGGTCATTTATATAATACCAGCAACACCCTGTGACTGCCAAGTAATGATATCAACTTGCTGCCCCTTTGGTTTGTAGGAAATGATAGTGCACCTGCACCTAAAGCACTGCAGTTCTCTCTTAATTGATTTTGATCTGGAGGTTGGCAACTGGTGGCATCAGGAAATCAAATGGGAAAATAAGTCATGAAAATACCGAATTATCTGTGAAAATATAGGTTTAGAGCACTAATGCAAATGAGGTTAAACATCTGCCTTCTTATGTCTCTTGGGTTTGTACCACCATTAAGAATAATGGTGGTACAATGATTTATTCATTGTGTTAGAGACTACATCGGTAAGCAAGCGAGCAAATGGAGAGGAACTGGCCTCAGGCATGGCACAGGCCTGTTTTTAAACAGATTTTAAATATTTCCAACCACTGAAGTAACTTTAGAAGTAAAAAGACATTGATATAATCTGTATAATAGATCTGTAATGGAAATGTTTGCCCGTCTGGAACATGGATTCCTATCTGTTGCAGATAGGTTTTTTAAGAGTCTCACTAAGTCAGGAGAATCTACAGTCCTTGTAGGAAAAGAAATAACTCTCTAGTAAGACCAGTGGTGGTGACAAGTCCTGGTATTTGCAGGCTGCTTTCTTTGAAATTGTTGGTATTTAGATAAGTTCCTCTTCACACTGCTTTTGTGATGTTTTAACATATTTTTGAAGCTCATTGCCAGATTTTTTTTCAGTCTTAATGCACTGTGCTGTAATTTAAATGGAGTTTATAAATTGGTACAGTTTATTTTTTACAAATATATAAGGATGCTTGTTTCTGCTGCTGACCAGTCTTTTTGTTTATAGTGTACACTGGGTATTTAGAACATATTTAGTAGAACATTTACAAATTTTTCTACTAAACCTTTAAGAAATATTTAAGTACTCTCAACCTAGAAGCAGTTTAAAGATAACAAGTGCTAATCACAATTTTTGCTTCAGCAGCTTTCATGGAAGCACATTTAGGTTTGTTGTCAGATTCAGTGGCAAGCTGTAGAGCTATTAGTTCTAGGCAAACTGTCATGCAATGTTGCCTTTAGTTAAAGTTTTTAAAAGCTAATTTATGGCAATGAAAAGGAAATACCAAGCTTTCATGAAATACAGACTAGAACACTCTTTACTAATACCAAGCTGTTCATCATCCAGATTTTTTGACGGAGTGGGATCCAGCTAATAACATTAATTTTTATGATGTATGTTATGAGTAGTTCTTTTCCCCTCTACACAAAGTTTCCTTGCTTTTTGGCAGCTCAGAGAAAAGGCTGTATCGTTAGCTTTTCTAAGGGAGATGAGAAAAAAAAAAAAGTGCCTTTGTGGTGTGTGCCAAGGATATTGATTTAATATAGTTCTGCCAGGCTCCTGGATTCACCAAAAAGATATCCAAATCCACTGATTCTTTTATTTGGAGTCGCTTTCTTCACACAGCAGCATAAGCAGATACTGCTACAGCCTAGATTATCAAAATATCTATGGGGGGAGAATCTGCATGTTGTTTACATGCTAGCCTGTATTTCAGGGAGCTTTGCCTTGGCTGTTCTTACAGAAATCAAATATTGCCTGTAATGCGATCAATTTAGATGCCTCTGCGTTTATTGAGTTTATATATGTCACTCTGTATGTTTATGAACATGGTTTACATTTCCTTTTCTCTACCGCCCTCTGTGAACCATTACAGTTCATTTTATAGCGGCAAAAGTATTTGTAGGGGCAGGGCTGTTAGACACACACACACACACTATGTCTCTGGCTTGCGAGCACGCTCGCGATTTCTGCATAAATGCACACAGCATGCGGGACGTGCAGGACTGAGGAGCAGTGGGGAAAACAGCGGTGGATTCTAGGTAGTGCTAAATTATGGATCATTTGACAGTATTCTGCTGGGCTTCCCCCCGCCCCTAGTCGTTGGCTGTTTGTGTGCATTTTTTTGGCTTCCTCCCAGAGTCCACACTGGTTCCAGCTGAGATGCCAAACCCCACTGCCGTTTGGATTTGCGCAACGCCGCTTTAATACCCAGAGCTCCTCCATAAATAGTTCTGCTCTCCCCACGCCCAGCTAGAAAACAACCACAGGAAATCGGGGAATGTGCAGCCAGCACAGCTTAGCTGGCACTAATTGATCTGAGCCAGCACTGCCTGCATGGAAGCGTTTGTGTCCGTAGCCTGCACGGCGCTCTCTCTGCAGCGGCTACCTCAGGAACTCCGGCGCCTGCCCTTGAGAAGACACCATATTGCTACAGCCTCCTAACAGCAGCAGCGTTTTTGTAATTCTCCCAAGGAGTTGCACTCCTGTGGGAGCCATATGCACCCTCTTTTTCCCTCCCTTTCCCCCTGTCTTCCTCCCTCCCTGCCTTTTCATCTCAGTTGATAACTGGAGGTTTTTTTGGCTGCATGCAGTTGTCAGGGCACGCAGTCTCGGAAACTTGCTGTGGCTTTCTAAACAAGGAGAAGTTCAAGGAAAGCGCATGGACGGATGTTTTTACCAGTGTGAGTGACTAATTAGCATGTAGGGGTCACTGAACAGGGAATTTGGATTTGAAGCTGGCTATATCAGGGTCTGTTTATTTGGATTTTTTTTTTATCTGAAAGCTTGAGTTTACTGCTGCTGTGACTGCAGGGTGTTTTTCCTCCTTCCTCCTCCTGAACCATTTTTCTCTTTCTCTCCTATCTGTATGGGTTTCTGGGAATACAGCCGTCTTCAAGTATGAAGATTCAAGAGCATCCAAGTATTCCTGAAACCAAGTTGCAAAGAAATCAAGATGCAGATGAACAGGAGAGCAGCTTTGTGTCAGAAGTGCCTCAGCTGGATTTGACAGCGCTATGCGATGACAGCAACTGGGAAGGTAGGAAGGATTGTGCGATGGCTGTTGGTACGAGTGAAAACAGAGAGAGGAAATCTGAGTGGGCTGGATATATCTTTATGGGCTGATGTTCTTTTGCAAAAAAAAAAAAAAAAAGTTATTTTGGCAGTTATATGAAACTGAAAGTTTGGAAAAACTGGAAGTGAAATACTGGACTGATATCAATTCCAATTGCCATTTAGAGAAAGAAAAGAGATAGTGTTTTATTCTTGAAGTAATTTTCCTGTGCTTCTCGTGCTGTTAGCTTCAGGATAACATAGTTTTTGGTGGTTGGTTACTCGGGTATTAAGAAGTTAGACAATCCTGTACTTCAGTGAAACTGGATATTTTGCAAGCTAAAAACAGCTTCCTTCTTTCTCCCTTTGCTTCCACTCCCCCTGAAATGCTCTACAGATATGAAAAGCGTAGTTAGAAGGAGGCTATCTAAATAATCCGTCTTTTGGTGAAAAGTGTGGACTTTTTAATGTATGCTGTGGAAAAAAAAAAGTTCACAGCTCAAAACGCCATGATAAATTGCTTATGCTTTGAATTATTTTAATACGGTTTCTTAGCTGTCTTTTGCAGAGTGTATGTTAGGTTGGCTATTTGCAGTGACTTATTTAACCAGGTAAAGGTTTGGGAGATGCGCGCACTGACCTTTTCAGGCTGCAGCTCTGTGACGATGAGCACTGTGCAATTAGTCATTTTTTTACTTTATTCTTTGAAGCCTTTGGAGGCAAAATCTGTGTGTAAAAATTATTATTTTTTGGCAGATATAATGAACGGGAAATCTGAGGGAAAATCTGTGTGTCATGAATCTCAGTTTCTTCTCATACTGAGCAGGATCGAGGGTACCCTGCAACTCTAGGATCAGACCCTGTTCCAACTACGAAGTACGCTGCTCTCTTGGGTATAGGCATGGGTTCTTTTGTTAGGTTGGGGTTCATAAATGAAGGAGAGGCTTCAGCAGGGAAGAAGAACAGGAAGATAGAAGTGTCATACATAATAAACAAAGCAAGAGAACAGAAATAGTGTCACCTTAATTAACAAATCTGTGAGACACACTGAGAAATCAAGGTCTTTGCCCCTGGTCCAAGTGTACGTGCCTTGGTACATTTTGCCCTTCCCTCCAGGAGAGGAGTAGTTACAACATCTTGAGCCAGGAGTAAAGACAACCATCAGGTGCTGTTGCCTTTGATTCGGCTGCACGGCTAGTCACCATGGATGGGAGAGGATTCTCCCCTTCCCTGCTAGGCGGGGATCCCTGGGCTGACGCTAGCACTGAGCAGGCAAGTGCGGTGATCAAAGCTCTGAGGAAGGGCTCCCAAGAGGCCCTGGCTTGCGTCTGTGTATGCCAGGAAGCTAATTAGTAGCACCCCAAAGGTCTCCAGCCAGAGTGAACATGTCTCTGTCCCCAGAGGTGATATGTGGCTTCAGCTGTCATGGGAACCCTATGAAATAATGATTATTTTTTTCTTCCTGGTGCCTGCTGATCACTGCCAGTGTTACTAATGGGAGTCATATGAACAATGGAGGGGAGGCTGCAGCCCCTTGTATATCTGCCAAAAGCTCTCCTATCATATGAAATCAGCAGCACCTCGGATACAAATCCCTTGTTGCAGGCATGCTCTGGTGTTTGGATTCTAGGTTTTTGCACTGTAGATATGAAACAGGCCTACAAGCAGGCATGACAGTGCTTTTTTCAGATCCTTCATTCTTCCTTCCTGTTAAAATGTACCTGACAAAGGGAAGAGGTAGGCAGCTGTAAAAGGAGCAGCTGTCTGGGATGGCAGAGGCGTTTCCTTCTAAAATACTTGCCTTCCAGAATCACCATTTTGTTGGTACAGTTAGAAGCGCAGCAAAATGGTGGTTTCTGTGTCTTGGCAATGAGAGACTGAATCTTTCCTAGCTGTGGATACAAAATCAAGCTGGCAGCAGCCAAAAGGGGGAAGATGTTAACCTCAACTGTGGGCGCTTTTCCCCAGCTGAAGGCAGAGCCTGTCAGTGAGATTAGCTGTGCAAGGCAGGGATTTACCACCCATCCCGGCTCCAGCAACCTCCCGTCTCCTACCAGCCTGTGTTGCTGAAACCTTCACACATCATTTTGGGCTCCACGTTGCCTCTCTGGTCACCTCCCCTGTGAGGAGGAAAAAGACTGTGCTTCCAAAGGCAGTAACTATTGACTAGCTTTGATTCATCACCCAAGCAAACTCTCCATGTTTAGCCCAGAGTTGCCTTAAAACCCTCAAAAACGTTTAAAATCGTATGGAGTATGATCTGGAACTAGTACCAGATAAGTTGATGTGAGCAAGGATGGGGAAGAAATGTTCTCAACCTCAAGATTCCCAGCTTTTCATGTTACTTTCTCTGGTGGGAATGATTTCTACCTGATATTTTAAAATTCTATTGTTTGGTCAAATCTGTACACAGAGAGATTGGCTATAGTCCTGCAGGATGTGTTCCCCTGGCCCAAAGCCAGGCAGGGAGAACTCAAACACAGAGATTTGCTTCCCGCTTCCTCAAAGCAGCAGGCTCTGCCGGCCACAAGTTCGGGCTGAGGCAATAGCAGCCTGTCCTGGGATCTGGAAGAAGTGTTTGACTTGTGTGCATTCACTGGGTGCAAATGGAGCAGTTTTTATTCTCAGGCTGGGTGTGACCTGAGCTGTCTCCACAGCAAATGCAAAATCGAAGTCCTTGCCAGAGGTGTTTCATGAGCAGTCACTTCAACCCTGCACCTTGCCCCTTTCCCTGGCACTGGAGAGAGAACTGGGCTGCCTGACTGCTAGCCCTGCCTGCAAAGCCCCTTGGTCAGCACAGGCTGTGACTGCTTGCGAAGCAGTGTTTCCAGAGCTACTTCCATAGCAAAGGTTTTTAATCTAGTTGTGGATTATTTTTGAATCCTATGCCCATGAGTGAAGAGGACACAGTGTTCTTTCACAGTCCAGTGCTATTGTGTAGACTTCTTATGAAATTCAAGCCCCAAATTTGCTATCTGCCCTGAAGGAAATTCTGAAAAGCACGAGAAGTAGCTCTTCATAAAAGTGACTAGTCGTGCGAGTGATTGAAAGCTGGACAGGCAGCTCAGTAAATAGATGTGTTCAGTAAATAGATGAGATGTGCGATTGCTGCCTCCTTTGCCTTATTGCTCTAATTAAAGATAATTTATAGATATTTCAAGCAGAGTTTACAATAACAAACACTTCAAAAGCAAACAGACTTTCTTTTTTGTACACTTTTAAGCTTTAAAAAGTAGAATGAGTAAAAGTTTTAAATGAATAAATATTCTCTTCAGTGTTGACAACACAGGTATTGCAGTGGTAAGACTTTGAGGGTGAAGCTTATTTACAAATAGACTGACTTAATACTTTCCCATGCAGAGAGTATATATAACCAGTAGGGAAACTGGTTGTTAGAATTTTTTAGACACTTAAGAGTTATATGTATCTGTGTATTAGTGTATAATAGACTATCTTGAACCTGAGAAATCAAAAGGTGACACTGTTTTAAGGATATTTTCAACAAATCTGTGTAAGTCTTGTGAAAGATAGGGCTTTAGTGAGCTAGTGAATGTTTTAGGGTTTTAAATTCTTTTATTCCTTTCATTACAAGAGGTCTTTCTTTCTCAAGTGGGATTTAATGCTAGGACCTCAGGTGTTGTAATTAGTTTAGACTCGTTAATCTCTCTAGACCTACATCAGTTTGCAGCAGCTAAGAGTTCGGCCTCCTTTGTTTGCCAGGCTGATGTGCTTAAAAGCAGCGTTAGCAACATAGATCAGTTATGGTGGCTGCAGAGATGAGACTAGGAGACACTCGTGGAGCTGGCAAGATTTGATTGATCACACGATGACAGGTTAGGGAGAAGTGCACCTTTAGTCAGCTACTTTATGGGCAATCCAGCATTCCAGTGCTTGCTGCTGAAGCATCTGGCATATGGCCAGTATGAGAAACACAGAAATTGGAGATGATAGCTCTGATCCAGTTTATCACATGATGTAGAGATGATGCATGACTCTGATCTGAATATGTTCCTTTATTATTTGCTCTGTTACTTTGGGGAAGGGAGGGAGAATAGTTTTGTGTTCAGATGAGATTTTTCTTCTAAATACTTGTAACTGCTAAGGGAATTGATTTATCCATAGAGTCAAGCCTTCCAAGAATGAGGGTTAAAAACACCTGATTTCTGTAGGAGCCATTTCTTCTGTCTGAATCTCAGATTTGATTTTTCCTTCGAGAACATATTTCCTTCCTCTTTTGACTTCTCCTTTGGAACATGAGTTTCTTGGCATTATTTTGATAACAACAAAGCAGAAGCTACACATGCCTCAGTCTCTGCTAACTTGCATTAAGCTGGGGCTTGATCAGAGTCCTTTTGAGACTTGCACTGCTCTGAATGTTGCATGATGTCTGGCATGTAAATCCTTCTCGGGACAAAATCACGTGAATCGTGCATGCTTGCTAATGGCTTTGTTAGCAGGTGTGATAGAAGCTTAATTTGCTAAATATGCAACGGATTTCTTCTAACTTTATTCCATTTAAATTCCCTGGGATGTGATTTAACATTTTCCATTTCTGTATGGAGGTGGGAGTTTGCACAAATTGGGAATGAGAGATGTTGGAATAATCACTTTAATTTGACCAGGGATCAGATTGGCTCCTGCATTATCAGCCTTTTATTTTGCTTCAAGCAGTCTTGTAAAGACCTTCCTGAAATTTATGTCAATCTAAGATTCATGGAAGGGTGTTGCACTGAGTTGTCACAATTTGGCTCAAGGGTTTGCCCTTCATTTTACCTTTTTTATTACTTCGGCAAAATATTTGGATTCCTTCAGCAAAATATTTCAGGTATTAGAGATGCCAAGGTGAAGGCAGCTTAGAAAAACATCATATTCCAGATATTCACAACAAAATGTAGACTACATAAGCTTTCCAGTCCATGATAATACAGCCTCCATACATCTGGGGCTTGCATCCCCCATCAAAGTAACTTCTGTGAGCTAGGTGTATGCATGGTGTATATGTTTCCCTTAGCACAACACCTGAGTAAGGCTCTTAGGCAGAAACCTCCAACCATCCCTTTCAGAACAGCTCACCAGTTTGCACGCAGCATCAGTCTCTAAGCAGAGGCGTGCAGTCCCTATTCATGTGCTGAGAAAGGAGGAAAGGGAAGGAACATAACATTTGGTGCAAGGATATACGCAGAATGCTCTCAAGCCTCTTGTTACTGCATTGTAGATGACTCTCTACTGCCCAGTTTGGAGGTAGGAGAAAACTGGCTGGTGATTCTTCACGTGATCTTCATGAGATCCATTTTGAGCTGTGGAAATGTTACCCTTGCTCAGCCAAAAGAAATACTGCTCCTTGTTCAAATGCTGGTAACTTATAAAGACTAGGTTCTCAGTGGAGTAAGCTTAGTCCCACTAGCACGGGAAATAATGAATCTGGAGATCTGTGGATCTGTAATATATCAGTGAGCTTTCTCTAGTGTTTTTGTTTAGTTATTTGACTCTAGAACTATTTGTTAGATTTATAAGCTGGAAGCCTGGCTCTTAAACTGTCTAATCCTATGGTGCTAAGTAGGAGCATGCAGATCAGCTTAGTAAACTATCTGAACACAGAACATTAGACCCCTTATGGCATCTAGCAGGAGTGATCACAAGACTGAGGTGATTGCTTTATGTGGGCTCCTAAATGCTAATCAGCAATGCTAAATCGGGTTTCCATTTCTCTCCTACCCCGCCATGCCCATATACAGGGTTGTTTTTACTTCCAGCCAGTTAGATTACCCAGGGAATTGAAAATTTTTTTACTTCTCTATCATGCTACTAAGCAGCCATACAGCTTCTGGTACAGTCTGGGTTTGCTGATGAGAGAGAAGAGAGGAAAACTCAGACCATATTGCCATCACTGGTAATATGGTAACATCACTATTGTCGTTTTACAGGGTCGATACTCTTTGGAACAGGTAGTAATATGAGACCCCCTAAACAGGCTAGAAAAATGCATGCTTACTGCCAGTCTTTGAATTTATACTAGCTGGGAGCCAAGTTGTGTTGGAGTGCAGGGGTCTGAGGACTGCAGGAGTACAGTTATTTTATTACTCATTTAAAGCATTTGCCCCTCCTGAAAATTGAACATATTTCTCCTACAGCCACATGTCAATAATGCCGTTTTATCCAGCATACCCTTTCCTCAAAGGCGCCTTGGTATCATATTCCTTGGTATCAGTCCATGGTAATTACTGGCCAGATTTTGGGCACAGTATTCTGTTGCACCCAGGTGGTTGTTTATGCTTGTGCAGAGCACCCACTGTGGCAGTGTTTTGTACTGCTTTGCACCCTGGGCAGATGTGAATAATGACCCAGAGATTGCCTGACAATGAAGAATCAAGGACAGGTTATGTTTACATATGTCTCTTGAGTATGTAGTATACGCAAAACAAGAATGATAAAAGCAGCTTTTGTTTTACTGTTTCCA